TTTTCCTTTTCGCTTTTCTTTCTTTCAGCTCAATGAGTTTTCTGCTCTTGCCTGCAGTGTTTTCTTCCTCGGGGCCGTTTTAGTCATCGCGGCCACTTTCCTGTACGGCTACGAAGGCAAGCCTTCCCCCAATCCCAGCAGGGCGTAGGACACACGGCTGAAACTACAGCAGCCGCGGGAGGTCGTGCTGACACGAAGGGAAAGGAGGACTGGACTGCCTTTGTTTTCACATATAGTGTGAAAACATAAAGGAGGATGTAAGCAGGTTTGGATCAGAGGAAGGTTTTTGTTTTGTTTTTTAAATTTTATAACAACGCTGTGACAAGTCTCACACCAAAAGTGCCTCAGCTGAGAAGGAGAAGCAAGGAGAGACGAAACCAGGAGGGCGTGTTTTACTTTTCTTCTGCGATTACAACAGCGCACATAATCCAGCTGCCACGCCCGGTGAAGGGAAACTGGACCGACTGATTGTCTTCACCAGGAAGTAGTCTGACTGCCTGTTAGTGTTACGGCCACATCAGTCACCCAGTGTAACAAAGGAGCAAAGAACCAGAGGGTGGGCCTTTCTAACTATTCTTCCAAGCCACATTTGCCACGTAGCCCAGCGGCTGCCGCCTTCACCTCGTGGTGTTTAACGCTCTAACAGGTACTCCTGTCCTGTTTAAGCTCAGAGTCTGAATGAGCTTCAGCTCTGAAACTACAACACCAAGCGGAGACGTTACACTGAATATTGGAAATCAAGTTAATGTTTGGTGTAAGTATTAGCACTGTTGACATTTAAATCTATAAATTAATGGGCGGTTTAACTTCTTCATTAGGCTTAGCTTAGTTTTCAGAACCACTGTTGACGGTTAGCGTGTCCTCTGCCTGTGTAACAGTGTCATTTGGTGATTTTTGTGGTGGAATAATCAGAATGTGGTCCAATGAAACTGAAGCTGGTTACATCATTTACAGAGAAAGTAACGTTTGATTTGATGATTTTTTTTATTTTATTTTTTCTGAAACTACTTTTTTTTGGGATAAAGCGGGTATAATTAAGAACTTTATTATTTTAATTACCAATATGTGAATCTTTTATAAAAAAAAAAACATGCTTCCTTTGACTTATGTGCATGTGTCATTGTGTGTCTCCTCTTTGATCATTCTTACTTTACCACAACACACGGCATTTACATTTTCTACCCCAACACATAGACTGTATATAAAAGATGGATACCTGCTTTCAAATCTGATGTCATTGGCTGCATGGATGTCCAAATTATTTGGTTCCTGTGACATCGCTGAGGGTTAAAAAACAAAGTATTTTATCCTCATTTTTTTTCCACAATTTTTTAATTTTTTTGGAGCAATTCACATCAATGCATTTTCGCATCACATTTTCACAACTCACTCGGTGAGTCAATCTATTTCCTAACAATAAAAGATGCCTAAAAGTGCACCAAACTGCAGTCGAAAGTACCTCTGAGGTGATCCATTTGTTAATAACAACCACGAGGTTCGTCATGAATCTGCTGCGTAGTTTGGGTGACGCGCTATTAGGGCTGCCACGATTAGTCGACTAGTTACGATTACATCGACTCTCAAAATTGTCGATGACTAATTTAATAGTCAACGCAATATTTGAAGCTTTGTAAGATCCTGAAAGACGCAGGAATGAGTAGTAGGATTTAAGAGTGTATTAACGGACTGAAACAGAAGATGGCACCAATGCATCTACAAGGATGCCAGCTGCGGTTAAACGGCAAAGAAGAAGCAGTCTCAGGTATGGTAGCCGTGTCCAAATTCAGGGGCCGCATCCTTTGGAGACTGCATTTGTAGGCCGATTACATCACAGCGACGCAATGAAGGCTGTCCAAATTCGACGACGATGACAAATGCGTCCTCCCTTTTCCCCAGATTTACAGTTTTTTCTGAATGCTTAAACCCTAA